TCTTTACTTCCGTGTTCAGATGGGAACGGGTGTATCCTACTTGATATGAACCTACCGAAAGTAGAAACGTGAGAAGATAGACTATCTGAAAAGAAAAGCATAAAAAATCGAATACATGAATGAAATGAATAACGAGTGATAATAAAACAGTTATGACTATCATAATATTATATATTAATGTTCATTCTGAATTGTGTTTTATAAATATGTTGGCATGATATGAACATTATATAATAATCTTGATACAAAACAACTCATATTCATATTATTTCAATAAAATATTAAAAAGCTCAAAAAGCGCGTCTTTTGCGTGTGTTATATAATATATTGTAATATTTGTATGCTCTAAAAATAGAACAACCAAAACTTAAAAAGGTAGATTACCTGACGTTCCCATCTGTGTGAACATAATGGTACTAAACAGGCTCTAAGCATCTTTACTTCCGTGTTCAGATGGGAACGGGTGTATCCTACTTGATATGAACCTACCGAAAGTAGAAACGTGAGAAGATAGACTATCTGAAAAGAAAAGCATAAAAAATCGAATACATGAATGAAATGAATAACGAGTGATAATAAAACAGTTATGACTATCATAATATTATATATTAATGTTCATTCTGAATTGTGTTTTATAAATATGTTGGCATGATATGAACATTATATAATAATCTTGATACAAAACAACTCATATTCATATTATTTCAATAAAATATTAAAAAGCTCAAAAAGCGCGTCTTTTGCGTGTGTTATATAATATATTGTAATATTTGTATGCTCTAAAAATAGAACAACCAAAACTTAAAAAGGTAGATTACCTGACGTTCCCATCTGTGTGAACATAATGGTACTAAACAGGCTCTAAGCATCTTTACTTCCGTGTTCAGATGGGAACGGGTGTATCCTACTTGATATGAACCTACCGAAAGTAGAAACGTGAGAAGATAGACTATCTGAAAAGAAAAGCATAAAAAATCGAATACATGAATGAAATGAATAACGAGTGATAATAAAACAGTTATGACTATCATAATATTATATATTAATGTTCATTCTGAATTGTGTTTTATAAATATGTTGGCATGATATGAACATTATATAATAATCTTGATACAAAACAACTCATATTCATATTATTTCAATAAAATATTAAAAAGCTCAAAAAGCGCGTCTTTTGCGTGTGTTATATAATATATTGTAATATTTGTATGCTCTAAAAATAGAACAACCAAAACTTAAAAAGGTAGATTACCTGACGTTCCCATCTGTGTGAACATACTTTTTTACATAAATATTTTCTTTGTGGTTTTTTTATTATTAATGATATTTATTTTAAATTATTTTTTTTAAAGTTATATTTTTCTTTTTATTTTTTGTTTTAGCTTTTTTTTATTATTTTAAAACATATATTGTAAATTTTTAAGTTTGTTGTTTTTGTTTAATATTTTCTATTTTTTTTATTATGAAAATATATAAAATATACACAATTTATAACACATATTTAACATGACTTTACACACAGATAGAATTTTTACAATATTTTTTTATGCTTGATATGAATGACTAATCAATGCATTTTTCACAACACAAATGTAAATTTCAATTATTAATATTAACATTAAAAATATTTGTTATGGTGAAAATAACATATTTTATTTAATATGTTTTTGATTGTTTTCTAAACACATATTTTTTAGTAAAATAATATTTTTACATTTCAAAAACAAAATTATTTTTAATAACTATGTAAATTATACTTATATATTTTAATTGTGGATATTATAAACATAAATTGCTGGTTACACGACAAAAATGAATATAAATTAAAATGTTTTGAGTAATTAATCTAAAAACATCAGTTTTCAACTAAAAAAACTTGACAATGAATTACGAGGGGATGACTGAAGAAAATATAAACAATTTTATTTCAAATCAAAGCGGTGATGGTTATTATTATGTTTCATCAGTCAATACATTTCTTCTAAAGATGAACCATGGTGGACAAAATTTGATAACAATTATCAAAAATAATATTTTGAGTTTAGGCTTACTTTTATTCCTATTTTACAATATACACATTTTGTTTTAGCTGTTGTTGACAGCCAAAAAATATGAATAATATTTAATCCATTGAAAAATTATCACGAAATTGATTATGTGTCATATTTAAAAGATATATTTAATACTCTCGATTATAATGAATTTAATATTTACACTGCAACACGTTTTTGTAGACAGCCGGCACAATCTCTTTTATGTGGTGTTTATGTTTGTTATTATGTCATAATGATGATTATGTTCAAAGATTGTAGATCTGTTTTAATGCACAATCCTGATAATTTAGAAGTATTTTTTGAAACGATTAATACGATTGCATACACTACTTTAATTAACAAAATTCACACAAAATTTAACGGAGAAAACGTTCTATTGGCAGATGATAAACATCATAATATAAATACAATTTATTTAATACAACAGATACCTTCAATTAATAAAACATGTCATAGAAAAGGAAAAGGCTCAAAAAATATTATTACTAATGAGTATATTGAAAAAATGAACGTTCTTGTTGATATAGTAACAAAATACAAATACAACAAAATTAGTTTTGGAAACGTGTTAAAATGTTATCAAGTTAGACCAATGAGAAGTGCAGAATATAGTGATAAGATTTTGAAAATGTCATTGGATAAACTTATTGATTTCATTTTTTCCACCGCGGTTTATTGAAACATTGTTAACATATACTAATATTCATGGTAAATTTTCCGTTTTTATTTATAACACAACACATTTAACAACACGGAATTGGAAAGATCTCGACAGAGATGAAATGTTTGCATTCATTGGTATTTCACTATTGCAAGGTGTTTATAATGATACTAAATTAAGTCAAAGAAATATTTGGTTTGGAAAATTTGCAAGAATAGCATACATGTCTGCAATGTCTCTTAGAAGATACAAACAGATTTTAAGAAATCTTCGCTTTGATAATTTATGTAAAAGAAAAGTAGAAGACTTACACGTTTCGCAAGATTTATTCGAAATGTTTGTAAATGAAAATTACACAAAAAGAAAATATTCAAAAAGTGAAATTGACGAAGATAGTTTTTCTGATACAAGTTTAAGCACTCATTCATCTTCAACTGATTCATCTGATTCATCTGAAAATGATCAGTATTTATCTAGTGCTGATTCAAGTGATTCATACGAAACCCAACATAATAAAACAACATCAACAAATAAAAACATCTTAACCAATAATGATGAGTATTTAAGTTTAACGAGTCCAATATATACATATGGATATGAATGGGATAATTATTATAAAATATCATTTATAATAGAAACATTTAATGACGTTTTTAAAGAAATGAACGAACAAATTAAACCATCTTCTGTGTTGTGTGTTGATGAAGACTCATTCAGATATTTTGGCCATTACCAAAACAAAGTTACAATGCCTTCCAAGCCTTCTAAATGTGGATTTAAAATATTCATGTTGGTCGATTCAGAAACAAATGCTGTGCTTAATACCTTTCTATACAGAGGACGTAACAACGGAGAAGTTGTCCACCGTTTGGGCGAACGCGTTGTAATTAAATTGATGGAATCTTTTTGGGGAAGTGAATATACTTTATTTACAGATCGTTATTTTACTTCACATATATTATATGAATATTTGGCAAGCAGAGGCATAAATTTAATAGAAACTTTGGATTCAAAAAGGAAGGAAGTACCAAATGAATTGAAAAGAAAAGGAAAGCGCACAGATGGGTCTTTAGTAACATGTCATTGTTCAAATCGGAGTTACTTATCAAGTTTTATTGATAAGAAAACTAATGTTCTATTACTGTCTAGCACTAAACCCAATGAAGTGGATGTAAATACAAATGAAAAAGTATCAATAAAACCAAAAATTAGATCGAAATAATTTACACAAAGATTACCAAATAGAACCACTATTAATATAGATTATAACAAATTTATGGGAGGAGTTGATATAGTTGACTCACTTACCAAAAGAACTGATACAAAGAAAATAACAAAAAGGTGGACTTTAGCTTTGTTTTTCTGTATGTTAAATCTGGCATTTAACAACTTGTACGTTATCATGAAATCTCAAATTATACACAACAAAAAACCATTACAAACAAAAATTAACAGAATTGAAATTATGGAAAATGTCGCGATACACTTAATTGTTAACAATGTCAAAAGAAGGAAATTGAATCATTTGAATCTACGATCCAGAAAAGCCGTTATTTATTTTTTGAAAACATTTACAAAGAATGACATTAAACAACCCATTTTTATTCAAAAAACCGCTTCTGATTGTGCGATTTGTAAAGAAGAAATTAAAGGAAAACGAAATTCCGTTAAAAATATTTGTGTGTCATGTGGTAGACATGTTTGTTCCAAACACTCTATTCGAATTTATAAATGTAAAGATTGTATCAATCAATTTGATTTCTAAAACAATCAAAATTGATATTTTTGTGGTAGTAATATATCGGGATATTTGCATCAACATTAAAAATAAATTTCCTGTTTATACAAATAGTTCTCACTTAGATTTTATTTGGTTATTGGCAAAAATGGCGACTTGTTTAATTTCCCCTATAAAGCTAATCAAAAATATCTATTTTAATTTGTTTTTATGATTTTTGTTTATAATTGTTATTATTGGTTGCATGGCTTTCTCATGCAGTGTGTTATTTTTTAAAATAATTTTTACACATTTTTTTCATAAAAAAACGTGTAAAACATGCGACCATCCGCGGGGTATATACATGTTGCATTCAATGAGACATTCTCAATTAAAGATCTGATATTTCCACAGTATATTATATATAATAACAAAGGAAATGTGTGAACCACAAATTTACAAAACACAAATCATTTCTTTTTGTCTTTCTCCTCTTTCTTTTTCTCCTTTTTTTCTTTCTTCTCCTCTTTTTCTTTCTGTTTTTGTTCTTCCTTCTCTTTCTTTTTTGTTGGGTCTCGAATGAATCGGTCACTGAACCGCTTTTTCTGTTTGATTTCTTTCTTCTCGCTGTCACTTTCATTGGCACCAACAGACATCGGAGACTCGTTTCCCAGTGAACTGTTTGATCTCGAGGAGGGGTTCGATCTATCCATATCATAGAGAGCGTCTGTGCTTGACGTAAGTGATTTCTTTGGGTTGATTCTCGGAGAGTTCTTTGGTGAAGACTTCGGTGACACCTTTGGTGATGCTTTCGGTGAAGCTTTTGGGGAGACTTTTGGTGACATTTTTGGGCTGAGTGCTGGGGAATGTCCTGGTGTAATTCTACGCCATATTTCCTTAAAAAATCCCATTTTCTTCTTCTTTTCGGACAGAGATGGTGATGGCGATGCCGGTACATTTTCTTCTACACTTTCGATGTTATCAACTTCCTTCGCAAACTCTTCGACTACAGGAACAAAAGTACGAGGAACCATTCCTTTCTGTAAAACGACTGGTACGACCAATGGCTTTTGGCCAAAGACGTCAGAGAGACCGTGTGGTGTAATACTTCCCACAAATGGACTCTCTGTTAACACGTTGATGACGTGGCCGTTGTTGAGTGCGTGCATGAACAATTTGTAATACATTTGACTCTCCGTCACATCGACTCTCACCCCTTCGAACGCGTGTTTGACATACTCATCGCCTTCTAAAGTCATGACCTTCCCATATTCTTTATATTCAAACCGGCGTATAGAAGGGACATACCCTTCTATTGGTATACCAATGATGAACGGATGACTTAAGGCTTGATCGGGAGTCAATCGCTCTTTAGGGTCATACGCCAAACATCTCACCATGAAGTCGTAGAGTGATGCGCGGATTTCTTGGACCTCGTCGACCTCACGTGTGGACACTTTCATCGGATTTTTCTCAATTAAGTCTTCAAGTAAATGATACGAGAAGTAGTGACGATTCGTTTGAAGACGCACATTATTCTCCGCTTCATACTCAAACTGTTCCTTCAATTGATAAACCCCATTCTCCTTCTTAAAAAATTCTTTAGTCCGAGTCCCCTTGTCTAACATCGACACTGGAGGCATCCCCAACATGTCAATCATTTTAAATAATAAGTTGTATTCACTTGTCCCCGCAAACAAAGGAATTCCTAAGAAAAACTCCGCAGCTATACACCCGACACTCCACATATCTATCGCACATGAATACGGTAACCCCAAAACAATCTCGGGCGCTCTATAATGGCGCGATTGAATATACGTGTTCATCGTGAAATTCTCAAAGCATGCGCTGCCAAAGTCTATCAACTTGATGTTCGAAGACATCCCTTGTAATAACACGTTCTCGGGCTTCACATCACAGTGGACGACATTCGCCTGACTAAGCGTTTGCAGCGCGTGAAGTAAATGAAAGAGAAATTTACGGATCGTCCGTATCGAAAACCCTTTGTTCTTGTTCTCCTTCATTAAGTGGTACAAATCAGTCCCTAACAACTCCGTCACTATACATATGTGGTTATAATACATGAAGTGGTCATACATCTTAAGTATCACTACGGGTCTCTCTTGTTCGTAATATGCGTTTAACTACAAGTGAGTCTTTCATCATTTTTGAAGGGAGCAAGAGTGTCACAAGAAGATAAGAACAGCAGTAAAAGGAGTTATTTAAGTCGGTCTTCTCGTATAGTAAAATGTACTATAAATGTACTATAAATATAGTTATGAGAGGAACACTCGATTTTGACACTATGAAAGATGTGCTACACACGAACTTTTAACACTAAAGCAACAAACAATCATCAAAACAGAAACTTCGATCAATCCTTGTCGAAAATAGGCGGTGTGGTTTTTTAGTATTTTCACTGCGACGTTGGTGTTTGTGTTGAGATCGATACAATGGAAAACTTGTCCAAACGTCCCTTCCCCTAATAACGAAACGACTTTATATTGCGACAATACACTTGGGTTCATCGAACAATCAGGACCTTCTAACGAAGTTAAAGACCCGATGATATCATCTTTTTTCACTATTAAATCGTTGTATTCGTTGTCTCGTGGGTTACTCCCAGGCAACATCGGATCAGTCAAAATGTCCTCTTCGTTCAAACCACACCGGTTGAACGTTGTGCGTAGCGCTGTTGTCATTTGTTTTGTTAGTCCAGACGTTTTCGCGGATGTGTACGGTTGGTTGGGTGGCGGATCAAATGTCGAAAATACACCTTTGCTCATCGCGCCACGGCTTCAAGTTTTCTTAGTTTCTTTTCTTTTGAAATTTATTGTTTCTTTTTGTCGTTCAAACAGTATTATTCTTTTTGGTTTCTTGTTTTTGCTCAACTGTTTAGCATCTCTCTTCTTTTTAATTAATTCATATTTATTTTACTATAAAAGTAACCGGAGAAGATTAACTTCTTAAATACTTTAAGAGTAATAGTATATATAGTTTGTATAATTATAATTTACTATATATTGTTTTATTCAGTTGTCCATTTTTTTTGGAGTAGCTTGTTCGAATAATAAAAACTGATTTTCTCAAAAATCAAAAAATGTACTATAATATTTAATTTCGTTTTTTATATTTTTATTATACAATTTAATAAACCACTTGATTTGTGTTCTACTTTTATAATAAAAATTGTTCATCATATCGCCGTTTATGACTTCAATACCAATAGTTTTAATTAAGTCAAATTTAATGGCTTATTTTAACAATTGCATTATAAACAATTATAGTTTTTTTTAATAAATACTTGTTTAAGCCCAAATGGTTTTTATTATAAAAATAAATTATTTTATGTAATTATATTATATAGTAAATATATAATGAATATATATATAATTTTAATGTGGTTTTACAAATTTAGCGAAATGTTTTTCATTTATTTAAAAGAGAAAAAAAAAAATATTGTTCTTATTGTAAATTTAAAATTCAAAGATATTATTATCAATAGATTGTATTTTATTAATTATTGTAATTATCATTACAAATAAGAAATGGTAAAAAGATTTATTAGAAATACAAATGTTCTTGTATAATTAATCCAATAACAACTTAAGAATTATAAATAAAAATATTATTATTATTAAATTTTGAACCAACTTGAAAATTCAAAAAATAATTTTTAAGAATAATAATTTAATAATTTTTAAATATAGTATTAGTAATCATAAAGTTTAACTAATTATTAATATAATTAATCCAGCAGTGGCTTTTTAGATATTTCATCTTCTGGTGGCTTGTCATTTGTTTCTTTATAAAAAATTTTTTTGTCTTGGTAAAAGAGGTGTGTACTTGGTTCAATAAGTTTGTTAAAAATGACAAACGCAAAAATGTTCAGTGCCATCAAAAATAAAGCACAAGAGAACCATATAACTACTTTCTTTATTACTTCCGTAGCTTTATTATCCACAACATCATAACACGTTTCTATTGATCCACTTGACACTTTACTCCCCCATTCAAATTGAAACTATTTTTTAATTTTCAAAGAAGTAATATTGAAATAATAAAACAAACTAGATCTTCGACTTGTTGATTATAAACATTCCAATCATACTCAGTGGAATAAGACACATCCGCAAAATAAATAACTCCAAGACAAACAAAAGGAAAAATTGGCAAAAACAAGGAGCGAATTGATGCATTTTCAAATGTAATCTCCTTCGATGGTCTTTTCACAAAATGTGTTATAACAACCGCAAATAGTGTAAATAACAAACACAATATATACACTGGTAATGTCATAATCCCACTCCACAAAGAACAGGTGTATTTGTGGTCTTCTTTATAAAGACCTAATTCAAAGTATGGAAGTGCTTGAACGCCAACAATAACAAATACTATAGAAATTACCTATTATTTAATTCAGAACAATTCTTTTTTTTAAAATTTAATTCAAAATGGCAGTCTTAATCGATAGATAAAAAACATACAATATTCAATATCCAATAACAACTATACATGTACCCGCGTGTAATTTTGGTCTTCTTTGGATTTATCATCCCATCAAAACAATCAAATATCACAGAAGTGTATTCCATCATTTTGTTGAATTAATTTCATTCAATTATTATTTTTCAATACCAAGGGGTTCTGTGAATTATAAAACGATATAATTCATTTTTATTATGAATAAATTAGATGTATTTATATAAACTACACACCTGACTGAAAGTTTTTGATACTCTTTTGTTTTATTTTGAAACACTCAATTTACAAGATTATTGTTGTTTATTATAATTTACTATTTAACTACACACCATATAATTAATATGTTTATTAATATGTTTATATTAAATTTACTATACATTTATTCAATTATTATTTAATGATACAGTTAGTTTCACAACAATTCCTTATTTTTCATAACAAATAGATTTTTGTTTCAAAACAATTAGATTTGTACCTTTGTTCAGCCCTGTTTCAAAATAATTATTTTTTGTTGCACAATTTGCGTGATTGTTGCATAATTGGAATTATTGTTGCATATAAATATCGGGTGTTTCAGAACTATTTATTTATCCTCAAATCAATAATTTATTGTTCCAAAACAAAAAGTTGTTTCATAATTATTGTCTATTGTTTTAAAATAATATAGGATTATTGTATAACCGCATTGTATTGTTTCAAAACAAAAATAAACAAAAATAACCAAAATAAATTCAAAAAATGGTAAACTGTAAAAACTACACTTTTTAATAAAATTTGTTAATTATAAATAGTTTTACAGTTATCATTGAATAAAAATTGTTTAACCAAATAAAAAACTTAATGTAATTATAAGTCTTCACGTAAAAACACTTTACGAGTCACTACTTCGCTTCTTCCATGATATTTTTGTTCTTGCTATTACGACACATCGTTGACACATTAACAACTTCATTATCAAGTTCTTCCACCTTTCCAGTTTTCCCATTTCTTCTTCAACAAGAGTCTTGTTGGTTTCTCCGAGAGTCTTACTTCAATTGACACTTTTAGCGACCACAGAAAAAAGTGCTGAACTATATTTAAAATTTCTTCCTTTTTTGGTTTAGATATATTTTCTCCTTTTGCCAACTGTCCCAATAACCTCTTAAGTGATGACTCACCAATGCGGATTTTCTCTTTATAATACTTCCAGTCTCGTTCCTTACCATGTTCAATATATTCTTCTGTTAGCGTCTTCCTCTGTGTTTCTGTTACAACTACGTATATCCTTTTGATCTTTTCCTCCTCCGAATGTTGGGCTGTGTGAACAATTGACGAAGGCGCGAGTGGGACCAACGAGGCGACAATATCTTCAGCTAATCTTCTTTCTGTTATTTCGAGTGGTTGTGGTGCTTCTGCAACTGGGGAAACCTCTTCGTGGTTGAGGAATCCATCGACTTCATCTCGGTGGATGAACTCAAAAGAAGTGATTGCCATTACTTTATTTTTTAGTTTTCAGTTTACCATTTTTTGAATTTATTTTGGTTATTTTTGTTTATTTTTGTTTTGAAACAATACAATGCGGTTATACAATAATCCTATATTATTTTAAAACAATAGACAATAATTATGAAACAACTTTTTGTTTTGGAACAATAAATTATTGATTTGAGGATAAATAAATAGTTCTGAAACACCCGATATTTATATGCAACAATAATTCCAATTATGCAACAATCACGCAAATTGTGCAACAAAAAATAATTATTTTGAAACAGGGCTGAACAAAGGTACAAATCTAATTGTTTTGAAACAAAAATCTATTTGTTATGAAAAATAAGGAATTGTTGTGAAACTAACTGTATAATATTTATATTATTTATACATAAAATTATAATAATAGAATTTTTATAAACAATATAGAATTAATTTAGTATATAATCTTAATATAACTATTTATTAATTATTTTTTTAAGATAATTACAATTTAATTATTCTGGAGTTAAAAAAATAATCAAAAAATAATTGTCTACTTACTATTTCATAATTAATCCAAATAATGTAAGTAATATAAATTAAAGAGAAAGGACGGACATGGGGACGAAGGACGGGAATATAGGCCGAAAGACGTCCTTTGTGGTTTAGGGACGTCCTCCCGCTATAAAGGAAGTCCTCCTGTGTATATGGTGTCCTTTCTATTATTTTCGTGTCCGCGGCATTTTTTAAAACTATATAATGAGTTATAATATTACTATGAATTTACTATTATAAAATATAATTATTTCCAAAAATAAATAAATTCAAAGACAAATGTTAAACAACAAGTAATTTCGTTATAAATTAATGGTTTTTATAAAATATGCAAATTTAATTAGTTTTTCAAAGAAAACTCAATGGTAAAATGAAAAAAAAATGATAAATTATTATAAACCATTAATATATAACAAAATTACTTTTTAAATAGTTTTTGTCTTTGAATTAATTTATTTTTGGAAATAATTATATTTTTTGATTGTATATTTATAATAAAAATATACTTCGTTATATAGTTTCGATAATGAATAAAAAATGCCGCGGACACGAAAATAATAGAAAGGACACCATATACACAGGAGGACGTCCTTTATAGCGGGAGGACGTCCCTAAACCACAAAGGACGCCTTTCGGCCTATATTCCCGTCCTTCGTCCCCATGTCCGTCCTTTCTCTTAATAAAGAAAAACTTAATGTTAAATTATTTTATCGTCAGATTAAAAAAAATTAATAATATACTTAGTTTAAATTAATAAATTTAAAATTAAATTTTATTATTAATTTTATTATAATATATAATTTTTTAATACATTTAAATAAAAACCATATTTATATTAAAAATTATACTAATAATGAAGAGAGAGAAAAATTCTTTAGTTAAAATTGTCTTTAACTGCGAGTTGTTTCAAGTGACCCAAGAAAGTTTCCAGATTCACATCTTCTGTGAAGATTAAGTCGTTTTTGTTTTGTCCCGGAGCGACTGCTGGGTCCAATACAGTCAACAAATATCTTTGGTTTCCCGAATATTGGTTACACACGTATATTCTTGGTGCTGGGATTCTTCCTTTTGACATTTCATTTGCGTCGTTCTCTGCCTTCACGAAGAAATCCTTTAATCCTGCGTACTCCTCCTTCTCCTCGAGTTTTTGTTTCATCCAGTCGGCGACGACGTTTCCTCTGAATACGATGAGATAGAAGTAAGTGTCCAATAACAAGATTTGGTCTGGCTTAATTGATTGGAGTGACAATAAGACGGGCATAGATTCTTGTCCATAGACATATGCGTCCAATGTTGGTTGGATCATAGTGAGGGAGTTCCCCACATTTTCTCTATTAAGAGTAGCTCTAAAAATTGATGTTTCATCTGGTGTACAATTAAAGACTCTTAAGAAATGACTTCTTCTCAAGTGGAACATGAACTGTGGGTATATCGAAAAGTTTGGTGTTAACTTAAATGATGTCGGATCATCCTTTCTGAAATCACCAAACCGTTGGCAGAGACGAATTAAACTCCTATCAAGCCAACGGATGGCTTCTCGAGAGTCTTCACTTTCAGCTTTAAACACTGCATATCTTGCCATAAGTGTAGTCGCAGCTTCTTGATCAAATGAAGATGCTAATTTACTAAACCCTTCCGTCGATGGGTTCGTCCACAATCGAGCAGCTGTTGTCACTCTCATACAAATTCTTCCACTCTCATCTCTAAAACTCGTTCTAAATTGAATGATCCCCCCTTCATTCCCATTCTTGACATTCGACTGCGGATTGGTAACATCAAAAATGAACCCAAAAGTAGAGTCTTTCAGTGCAAACGACGCTTTCCACGCAGAAGTCCCTCCTATCGCAATGGATGTGCTTGACACCGAAGACGTCTTCTTCAGTCCCGACGCAAGTGCTCCAAGCGCACCACACACTTTCATTTCTTTACACGTCTGCACTTCAACACTCAAGTTGTTTCGTATCACATTCTCCTCAAACAGTCGAAGTAATGTCTCTCTCAACGCTTCGTGCTTATAATCTTCAAAGTAATAGGCGATCCCCCCAGTAGACTCAAACAGTTTTCTCATCTCCATCATCCCCGTCTGATCCATCGAACACGCAAAAATCGAACAACTCGAGTGGTTCGCTACTAACTTGTCCGCCACGTCATCATAAAACGACTTTGAGGAATTCATATAAGGTGTGTTGTCGTTGACGATGTCTTGATGACACCGGATGTTCTCTCGTAACGAACACCCAACGATCTTCCCAGGCCCTTCCGTGCATGGACCAGCAACAAATGTGATGATGTGCCCAGACAAGCCAGACGCCTTTAACATTATCTGCGCTATCTCCACTGCGGCGCCCGTCGCGCGCTGCGGTCGCATCGCTTGAGCCACTGGAAATCCGTCGACTTGAATTGAATCGATGACGGTCATGAGAGTCAATTCACAGAGAGAGAGAGGAACAATGTATTCATTGCTCTCAACAGAAAGAGTCATTGCACACTGAACAGTCATCGGAGAGTTCTGCTTGTTTGCAAAAGCGACGGACGTCAAACAGGAAGTGTCACACATCAAGTTGTGGACGGTAATGCACTGGCCAAAGGTGATCACCCCGACACGGGTTGTCGGGGGTAACAAAGAGACGACGGAAGTGATGTGCGCCTTCAACTCGTCTAATTCGTCTTGAGAAGTTGTTGTGTCGATGACAAAAATGTAGGACGGGTATTGTGGAGCTCCGGGTAATTGATATTCAAAAGTCGTGTGCTGGAGCTCAGGAAGTTGGTCATTTGTTTGTAACTGGTTCCTCGACAAACAGAAGCAACACGTCCACAAATGACTAGTATAGTCGACTTGACAATACGGGTTAATAGCGGC